AACGAAGGGAAAAATTAATTTGTGGGGAAAACATGGGTGTATATTTGCTGGGTTTAAATTCTCTCATTTAATTCTTGAAACCCTTCTAAGGCGAGAGTTTTATCCCCGTTCCATACTTGTGGAAAGCCAAGCTGAATCAGTGGTAATGCACTCAAGATGGGATTCAGATGGAATTCAGTGGCAGCCCTCTTGGTTCATGAACCTGAGCTCCTGTACACCGTCTTGTGTTGCAGATGTTCAAGTGAGCCCACTGCGTTCCAGTCTTGGTGGAGACCCTTCAGGGGTCCTGAAACCCAAGCTCTTAGGAACCCTTTTGGCAGTTTTATTCTTTTGAGATTTAGGTCATCCTCTTCCTGCAGTCTGTCTGTTGATCTTGGGTCGTGTGAAGACGCTTTGAATCTGGAATGGCTCTTATTGTGTATCATGGGGCAGCTCTTTTAGTTTCTGGCAGAATTTTGACAGGGCTGCAGTTGGGATACCTGCTAAGATCTGTATTGGCTGATTATACAAGCAAGGAGCCACAACGACGATTAGCATGGTCAATCAGTATGTGCGTCTTTCTGGTTTATTGATTTTCCAGAATATTTCTCAAGATCATGTAGCTATTAGGGTTATTCTTGGGGTATATTGATTTATACTGTTAGACTACTTGCATTTGGAAGCAGGAGCAGTCCTGAGCTCTTCCCCTTTGAATCACAGCAGCTGGAGTAAGCTAGGTAGATGGGTGGCTCAGTCGTTAAGCGTCTGCCTTCGGCTCAGGTCATGATCCCACAGTCCTGGGATCAAGCCCCGCATGGGGCTCCCTGCTCGGCAGGAAGCCTGCTTCTCCCTCTACCACTCCCCCTGCTTGTGTTCCCTCTCTCGCTATGTCTCTCTCTGTCAAATAAATAAATAAATAAAATCTTTAAAAAAAAAAAGATCAAAATTTTCAATCTCTACAGTACTGAGTCAGTAAGCCAAAGATTGATAAACCAGTTTTTAAAAATGTCTTAGCTTTTATGGGCTTAGTCTATGAAGTCCTATTTGCCGTTCTTATGTTCCCAGATTTTGTCAAGGAACTGGTTTGTATAGAACTCTTAGGAAAAATGAATCCTTTATTTTCAGTCAGAATGAATAGCTCCATGATCAGGTGACCCCAGGACCTTTCTGATTCTCATGCCCTTGCTCCTTTTCTCTAGCTGCATTGGCCACGTGGCTCTTCCTCACTCCCAGCACTTTGTTCTCCCCCTCACCCCAGATCAGCTGAGGAATTTGTACTTGCTGGTCCAGAGCCTCCCTGGAACATTCTTCCCCAGCCCAAGTCACAGGGCCACATCCCTGGTTTCCTTCAGGAATCTGTTTACATTTTATCAATGAGACCTTTCCTCGTCAATTCACCGTAGATAGCCTCTCCTCTTTCCCTCATGGCCTGGCACTCCCTGTCCCATATCTTCCCCATTCAATATACTTTAAATATTTCAGGTTTCTTATTTTTAAAAATTCTGTCCTCCCTATGAGAAGTAGGGCTTTTCAGTGTTCATTTTCTGTAAAACAGTGCCTTGCATTAGTAGGTGCTAAATAGTTGCTGAGTGAATGAATACCATATGCAATTTAGTTAAGTTTTAAACTGCTACATACAGATAGGAAGAAAATGCATTTATTTCCCATTGCTCTCAGGTATAGTAGGGTAGCAGTGAAAGAAGTAAGCTAATACTGGATTAAGGTAACTGTCAGATACTCAAGTTTGCTATGAATGGTTGACTTAAAGTGCTCACATCACTTACTTTATAACTTCTTCCGTTTTTAATTAAAATTGTAAGAAAAATCATATATTTATTAAATACAGACATTTTTTTTTAATTTCCTAATTTTTCTGATGCGCCCGAAGAACTAAAAACAAGGTATGCTTTAAGGCAATTAATTGATTTTTCAAATCATGCAGGAGCTGTTGTGGTTGACTTGCAACTTTCATTCAACCCTAGATAATTACTTTCAGGCATTATGGTTATCCTGTTCCCTTTGCCAGCTTAGAAATGGAAATGGGTTCTGGTTTTGACTGTTAAAGCTGAAAGAGAAGACTGCTGGAAGCTTCTGCTTCCAGCTAAGATTTCCTCAAGTCCTAAGAGAAGCAAAGCAGGAGGTGGTTCTTTGCTTCTGGACATCCTCTAGTCCAAAAGAGGAGCTTGCAGCTAGGGGATCCCCGATGGCCAGTGTGAGGGTGAAGCTAGTGCTGAGAGCAAGCCCACCTGTCTCTGCACTCCTTGTGAGATTAGACAATAAGTTTCTTTTTCACTTGAGCTAGTGTGAGTTGGTGTTTTGTTGTATGCAACCCTAGGAACATCAAAAGTGATGACATTCATTTCATAATGTAATTTTGAATATTTATTTCAGGGCTACATCCTTGCCATTTGTATCTCATAAATCCAATTTGAAAACCTTTCCTTTGATTACTGCTTGACCTTATATGTATTTTTATTTTGTTTAGTTTTTACTTTTGCCTTAAAATTTTATATGAGACCTGGATTTACCACTACTTCCTGAGGAACACTTATTCACGGATCAAAATAGACTTGGATGGCAACATAATTTCTCGAAACACCAGAATGAAAGCTTATAGGGCTAATTCTTCCATATGGCTTATCAAACTAATAAGAATTAGTCTAGAATGTGTTTTTTTTTTTTTTAATTTTAGGAAGTTTATAGGGGTCTAGGGAAGGAGATGTGTTAATGTGATCCTCAGCTTTTTTGAAGTTTATATTATGGTTTACTTTTATGCTGATTTCACCTCTGGAAAGTAGCTGTGACCAAGTATCAATAAATTTACAATTCAACTGCCACTTTGGGCAGAAAAGAAAACTACTCAATATTTTCTCTCGTTATATGCTTTTGCTTTCTCCTGTGGTTCTACAATTTCAATTTTAGAGACAACTCCAGTTGATATAGAGAAAGCTGACTATGAGAACCATATGTCTAAATATTGGTATGCTAGCAGCTTTCAAACAGTTCTCACATCGAAAATTGTTTTCAAATGAAACTTCCTGAAATTTAATAAGAATGGGATTTGTAGGCAGTTTAAATCTTTATTGTTTGTTGGGGAAATATTTCACTGCTTATTGAACCCACGGAGCACAATTTGAAAACCTGCTGCATCGAGGATTAGTGAAGAATGACCCTGTGGGTTTTCATCCAAACTGAGATATTTCTGAGGAAGAAATAATGATTGCAGCACAACGGACAGAACCTGGGACTGCTCCAGGCAAATGAGTCCCATGGCTCTGTAGTGGTGGATGCCGGGGCACAGATAGGAATCTCTTTGGTAATAGTAGGAAACTGATCTGAGTCCCCTTTCCCACCTTTATAGCCTTTAGCCTCTCTAGTGCGGCCAAGGAGCCCTCGTCCCACAGAGGATCTCTGCAGCCATTGAAACTAACAGAGTAGCCGCACCATTGGGGATGTTCAGCCCTTGAGCAGGTGCTTACTGGGCACCTGTTATATGCCAGGCATTTCCTGAGGTGCTGAGAGTACAAAGATAAATGACACAGTTAGGAAGGTTTACCCTATTCATTCAGCAGAACGTAGTAATGAATAGTTTCATACCTGTTTCATACCTGTTCCATTAACAATTGAGAGACATTTAAATGGGAAAGAGCATGGGAGTTTTCAGTCCTGAATTCGGAATTTGAAATGTAATGGGTTTTATTAATAAGGCCTTCGCCTCTACCCATCACCCCCTGAAATTGAACTACATTGAGGATCCGTGGTTATTTGTGTATTCCCTTTGAAATCTACATTATAGTTAGAAGTCACTATACAGTTAGGAGTAGAACACAGCTGTATCCATTGGTGTTTGTTTTGATAGTATAGTGTGGAAGATAAGTAACTGAAGCAAATATAAGTGATGAGGTAGAATCCTGTGTATCTCTGTCTCACTATCTTTAGAATTGGAGAGAAGAAGGTGAGAGTGTGTTTTTGGCAATGAGAGAAAAATGAAAGGAAGAGTCAGGAAAAATACAAGGACTCAAAAAGAAGTAAAAGACATGGAGAGTTTTGCAGATTACAATAGCATATGTACATTAAGAGTGGTCTGAAGTGCTCAGGAGAAGAAAAATGCCTCTCAATTCTGTAGTGACCTTTCCACTGTAGGCCATTGACATGCATGACACACTTCCTCTAGTAACAGTTGTTGGTACAAGATTCTCGCTGTGGGTAACGAAGAGCCAGGAGCTGGTGAATGGAATGACAGACTCTGGGACCTGATTTAACTTTCTAAAGAGTTGTATTTAGTTGAGGATGTATTTTAATGTTCTTCATATAGAATATCAAAGAAATCATTTAGTCTAATAGATTTTAGACTGGTGTTGACTTTAAAATCAGCCTTCATGTTCATTTACCCTGATGTTTTATTTTCCTTAAGACGTTAAAAAAAACACACACACACATATCTTTGTTTTCATGTCTTTTAGCTCTTTATAGAACAGTATGATTGTAAGTGGTACCTTGAGAAGATTGTAAATAGTTATGTATGATTTATTCTCATTTTTAACTATAGTTTTCAAGAACAGGTAATTATATACAAATCAAAATATGGCATGCAAACAAATAACAAATTCAAGTGTATCTTAGTTGTCTTACTGCTGGATTCAGAGCTCAAGCAGCAATTAATCACTTCTGAACATGAGGAGCTTGAATTCATATTGGACTTCTTTTGTCAAGTGCAGACATGACTCTATTTTAGAGATTCGTGAAGGCTTAAGCAAGGATTTTTGTTTTATTGTTTTTAAGTGAAAGGTTAACTTAGGTAAAGAGATGGTCAAGGCCCATGTGAAGTTACAGAGCAGTCTGTTTGCCTACTTGAGTTTTTAAGCATCTCTACATTCTCATGGAGTATGAAGTCTGAGAAACTGAATTACTTGCACTGTTGACGAAGTGTTCGAGAATATTGTTTTTCCTGGTTTAATATGTCAAAGAAAAAAAAAAGGAAAAGGAAAAAACTCGAGTTAACTTTGTGAATAAAAATGCAGGCCTTAAAGAAAGATCTGCTTCAAAGCCAACAGTCCCACCGGAAGAAGCTGAGCCATACCCGTGGCTGGAGGAGCAGGTCCCCGAGGATTCAGGTAAGCTCTCTTCGACTTCTGACTGGATGTGCCTCGTCCTGCCAGCTCTCTAGTTTGCAATTTCCAGAATCATGTTTTACCCATAATTTGTGTCATGATGTTTACAGAAGATGAAGTATTTTTTTCTCCTTCTCTTCTGGGATTTTGGAGTAAACTTAATGTTTTCTAGTAAAAATTTACACAGGATAATTTTAATTTTGGGGATCAAGAATCAAAGGCACAGAGGAGGTGGCACAGTTAGGAACATCATGAACTAAATGGCAGGTATCTGGATTCCAGTTCCAGAACTTCTTATAGTGAAAGCACAGTTCGACACGTAGGGTACCCTAGTGCTGTCATGGTCGATTCCAAGATCTAACAGGGGAGGCCTACTGGACTCCCAGTCTCTTTAAGAGGAGGGTCTCCTTTCTCCATCAGAGACTTTCCAGACCCCCACTTGATGCTGTGGGAGGCCTCTTGTACATCCACATGAATTCATAGATGAATTCAGAGATCTCCATAGTCACCCAAGGGCCTGTGACCCACAGAAGGAAAACTCCTAAAATCTGTGAATAAATTGGCAAATGAAATTCGAATCTGTTACTATCGTTTCCTGTTTGTGCTGTGATATTTATTGCAAAGTACTATTTAATTGCTGCACGGTTTCCCTTTACCTAATCGTTCTCCAAAATTTGGTTTCATTTTGCCACCTATTGGAAGGGTTTGGTATGACACTACATATTTACCAGCAACTGAAGTACTCTGGGCTGATTTTGTCACTCTATGAATAATATTTGATTTTCTTTTCTCCCTTTTAAGATCAGTATGCTGCTCTGATTTTTTTTATTTGTTCAAAACATAATCCTGGAATTTACTGTCTCCTTCCCAATCCTTTAGAGTACCATAACTCGAGCAAAAGAGCTACTTTAACGTTTTGTAATTAAATGTGTATTTGGATTTAGCATCTCACATATTACTTTGCACTAAATAAATTTATAATTTAAAAAATACTGTTTTTCAAAGCTAATACCTACTCTGAATGTTGTGCCATTCGTTTCAGCTCTCCTTTTTAAATTTTTGTTAATACTGCTCTACATTTAACTGATAACTTGTCCTTCTAAATCTGTTAGTTTATTTTCAACTCCTATCCTTTTCAACTTCTTGGCAGTGTTTGGTTTAGTTTAAATGTTGCCTTTTCAACCTTTCTCTTATCTAGGTTTTTGGCTTCTTTTTCTTCTCTATCTATCCTACAAACCCAGGTACATACCTCTCATTACAAAACAATAAAGTAAACCCCCTCTTGGTCCCTACAGTACTTTCTATCTGCCCTCCAGTCCCTGGCCCTGTACTAGCCAGATTTTTGAAAAAAGAATCTACAGTTGCTTTCTTTGCCTTATTTTCCACTCAGTTTTTAACTCATTGCAATCTAGCTTCTGCCTCTCCTAATCCTTCCCAGAGGAAAGGAGGAACATCACAGAATCATGGAAAGGTGAAACAGCATGGTGGACTCACTGAGTTCAAAGCCAGTGCTGGTAGGAGGTGATTCTGGAGAGGCATGTGAGGGCTAGATTGTGGAGCTCTTCTATTCTGTTCTGAGGAGCTTAGATTTTCCTTTTTTCCTCTGTTCGGGCCGAGGAAGCCATTAAAGGGTTAAGCAGAGAAGCAGAGTACCATCCACTCCAGTTACTAATATTAGATTCTCTGTGGATGGTGCTGTCAGCAGTTGTAAAACTAAGAATTGGTTAGGAAGCTGTCATGGGCATTATAAGAGCCGAGGAGGGAAGAAGAGAGATTGGCAGGCTCTTCTGTAATTGTATGCAAATACATATAAAAATGGTTTGTGATAGACAAACATCTATAAAAATAGAAGGCACTTTTTGTGCTTCAGGAATGGTTTTGTAATGTGATTAGCCTAACCGGTTCGTAAACTCTTTTCCTATCTGAAGTTCACATGAACTTACCCTGTTTTTGTCATCGAGGATTAGCTTGTCAGTATAACTAACTGATGTCATTGGCATTATTTCATATGACAACATGGGTGATACTGAGTTTGGTGCTACTTCAATTTACTGAACATGGATGTTTGTTAAACAGAAAATTTATCGTAGTGTCAACGTCGTTATAGCTTCTTGTTTGTTGTGTGATGTTTCAACAAACCCGGTAATCCGATAAGCAGCACAGTGTTGTCGGAAGGTCATTACTGATAGTGTTGACTTTTGTAATTTATATCCATTTGAATCTATGGATCTGACTGTCGGACGGGCTTCTCCAAAGCCGAAGGGATTGTCAGTTATCATGTGGGTTCTTGTCCTCGACTTTTGACCTTCTCAGTCCTCACACAGTGGCCTGTCAGGTGCTCTCATGTCTGTTGGCCTCATCTTCCACATTTTCATCTTTATTTCCAAGTACTTCCCTTCCTGAAAGCTTTGCCCATCCCCTTTTCTTTATTCTATCATGATTGTGAATTTTGTTAATTAGAAACTGAAGTAATTTTGCTCTGTGAGGTGATTGCTAAACATTTATATCTGCTGTCAAAATAAAACCAATCTTGGGCGCCTGGGTGGCTCAGTTGGTTAAGCGACTGCCTTCGGCTCAGGTCATGATCCTGGAGTCCCGGGATCGAGTCCCGCATCGGGCTCCCCGCTCGGCAGGGAGTCTGCTTCTCCCTCTGACCCTCTTCCCTCTCGTGCTCTCTGTCTCTCATTCTCTCTCTCAA